AATTAGATTCGTTGCAAAATACAGTTTCCAGTGTTTCCTCTATTTCAATTTATGTTTTGTTCAAAACACCAAAATACATAGATAATAAGTAGGGCTTGATTGTATATAAATTAAAAACTATAATATGTTAATGTACATGAAATAAAAAATAAAACACGAAAAGTAAAATTTATAAAATCAAATCTTATTCTTGATGGTAATAAAATACCATATACATACTCAAATTTACAAATTTAAATGACCTACACAATTATTATTAATTTAAGCATATTTCAAACATTAACTAGTAATCAGTAACCTAGAGTATAAATCTTAAAAGAAAAAAAGATATATGTCTGGTCAGGTGTGAACAAAATGTAGCAAGCTAATAGATATTTTTCCTCTGCAAGAAAAATTGAGAAATTTTAGATATGCTTTAAGGTATAGAACAATGGAAAAATATCTAGTAATATGCTTTAATTTGTTAGGAATTTGATGAATAAAGAATTTTATAATAGTTATATAATTAATTCAATTTTTCTTATTGTTCATTGGCGTTTTTCTATAGAAATAATACAAAATCAATCAAAGAAAAAGTTTTATCCAGTCAAAAAACATATTTATGTTAAAACTAATAACTTTAAGAATCTTACATAATCAAAATTGCCAACTTTAATTTTTAAATAATGATACAGAAATTAGGTAAAGTATAATACACTAATATGGTTAAWAGAAAATAAATATTTGATACATACCTACATTAAAAAATATATATAAATGTTTCCTACTTTTACATGATAAAATACAATTAAAAATCAAAGTGTACTTAGAATAAATTAATGATCATTGAATAAAGCTAATAAAAACTATTGTTTCTTAAAGATATGATTACTTAGGCCTTATACAATTATTTACTTACTGTTTTGCTTTATTTGGATGAACGTTTAATTTTTCAGTCAAATATTTATATGTTACCTGAAAATACAAAAAATATGTAGTACTTATTGATATTCCACAGAAATAAAATTTGATAAAATACATTTTACTTATAATTCTAATTTAAACATTAATGCCTAGTCTAGAAAATTAAATTAAAGCTAAATCAATGATTGTTTTTGGTTTGACTTCCTCCACACCAAAATTAAATCCTATAAACACCAATGGGTGGGTAAATTGATGATATTGATCTGGTCAAAGGTTGGGAACCTGCAGCTCAATCTTAAGGGGATGTGATACCTGCATGTGTTGTCTTCTTCTAACAAGTGAGTAACAWAGCAATTTTTATGCTCAGCAGAACATGTGTAGCTCAAAAATATTGGATCGATTACAATAAAAATAAAATCAATATAATTTTTAAAATTAGGAAGATGGATTAAACTTAATTTTTCAAACACTATAGTTTAGTAATAGGTGGCTCAAACATGAATTGTCTAAAAAATCAAAATATTTTTTCTTTTTTGAATGTAGTGTTACAACTGATATCAGAAATAAAATTTAAAAACAAAGAATGGTATAGACTAACTAACTAAAATATTGTTCTAAGAGATATCAGTAAAATGTAGAAAGTTATTTGAACCACATTCAAAAATATAACAAGTACTATTCCAATTTCAGCACAGGCARATTACTCATTCGGTTGAATAAATTTCCAGAGCAAGGTATATTGATGTCTAATTTGTCCGTGTATTGAAGTACACTAGAATTGAGATACAACAATGAAGTGTTGTATTTTATACTGTTTAACTTTTTCACTTGCTAAGTCAGCACATACAGCTAGTAATATATATATATATATATATATATAAACTACTAAGTCTCGATAAATGTATATAATTATGAAGTTAAAATCATTATTATCTTATTTATCTAAATACTTGAAAATTATTTATTTGTTAAAATAAATGTACACCCATATTGGTGAATTGTAATTATTATAATGTTATATATTGTAACGAGTGAATCACTGATGTCCTATTTAATTATTAATTAAGATAAAACAAAATGTTTAAATTAACTTTAAAATCTTACAATTTGTTGTTTATCTTCAAGTTGTTCAACAATAATTTTCATTTCCATTTTATTTTAAAATAAAAACTTCAATAGAATATGGTTTAATAATAGCTTAACTTAAAATTAATTTACTTCAGTAATCAGTGTAATATTTTGAATACAAATAAAAATAGTTTATGAAATAGATTTTACGACCATAATAGTAATTACCAATTGTCGACGGTGAATAAAGTAAAAGTAATCACAATAAATTAAAATGATACCATCAACTAATATTATCTATCATGATGAAAAAAATTTACCGCCAAAAAAAAAACAACAAAGAAATCTAACCATGAAACCATTGACATGGTAACAGTTATAACCTAACCCACAATTATTAGTTCCAATAGACATTTGTCCTAAAAAGTCTTGTTCCAAATATGCATTGGAAGATAGAGCAAATGCAATTAGAACAGGTCGAGAACATTCAACTTTTATGTGACTATCATTGAAAATTTGAAAAAGTTAATGTTTATTGAATTTAAAGATAAGAATATTATCTTGGATCTACTTCCAAGTTTTTTTTTACATTTTAGTTTTAAACACGGATTCGTGGTTTTAAAACAAATTTTGAACATTTTAGAAATTTAAATATTTTTAAAATTGTATTAACTTTTTCCTGAAATAGAAAACAATAGTCTTTTTTATCAGCTTTTTTTAAAAACCAAATATTATTTAATATTTACCACTTGTAACTACCTTAAATTTACTTATTCACAAGTGGCGTAGCCAGGATTTTTCTTCGGAGGGAGGGTTTTTGTTCCTATAACCCTTAACATAAAATGTCTATAAATTACTTAAAAAAAGTTTTATTAAGTATAGGAATTGATAGTATAAATATAATATATTAATATGGTGTAAATTTCAAGTTTTTACAATTATTCGTTTTTGAATAATGAGAAAATAAGAATATCAGTTACAAGAAAAATTGAGTGAATATCCAATATTATTGTAAACATTTGAAATTCAAATACTCAAAAGAAGGTAATTTGATTTTCCGGGATAGAGAGAGTAAAAAGATTAAAGACTAATTAAAAAAAATTGTAAATATGAATTTTTAATATTTTTATACTACCTACCATTGTACCGATATATTATTAGAAGTCTTGTAGGTATTGAATTTTTAAGCTTTTTTACCTAACGAATACAATTTTATTGACATTTATAAAAAAATGAACGAAAAAATTGAAAATGTCTATTAATAACTTATAAATATTTTTAAGTTATTAATAGACATTTAAATGTCATTACTCATTATAAACATTCAGTGAAAATTGCATGTACCTTAATTTGTTTTAGAGTTACACCAATATCCAAAATCAATTTTCTCAAAAACCGATTTTGCGTAAAAACTTAAGTTTTACCTTAATTTTTTTCGTTGTTCCCGCGCTTTTAAATACTACTGGGAATTAAAACTCCCTAATGCACCAATCCAATCCAACCGGAAAAGCTACTGAAGTTGAAATTTCGAAAATCAAATCATCATTATCTCGACAACTTATTGTATACAAAGATATAGAAAAAAAATATAAAAACATACATAATTGTAAGATCAATACATTCATTGCTTCACTCAGCTGAAATCAAAAAATGTAGAAGAACAGGAATTATTGTTGGTTTTTGGTGTATCTCTAAAAAAAAAATCGTAAAAGATATACACAATTTTACCCAATGTTTATACAGGCATTTTTCATAAATCGTAAAATTTTTAAAGTTGTTCGATTCTTTTTGAGCTATTTATGGACATAAAAACATTTTGATTTTTAATAGTTTATTTTTTAATACAATTTTTTCTTTAAAAAAAAAAGTTTGAAACTGTAATACAAATTTCTTAATAAGTAAAAGTTTGTTAGTTGTATAAATACCAATTTAAAAATTTAAATATATGTATACAATGCCAAATTTTATAAGCATTTAAAATTCAAATTTTGACAAAATTACGAACTTAAGCTGTTGAAAAATTTGTAGAATTTTTAATATCCATAAATAACTCATTAAAAACACATTTCTTCCAGTAACCATTTTATCCATAAGACATTTGATCCAATAGTAATTTGTTTGTTTGTTGTGGCAAAAGATTAAGGATGAGAAAAATTTCGATATCTGATAAGAAAATGATAAATAAAAGTCGTTAAAAAAACACATTTCATTCTGTATTCAGTAAGTTGTTATTATATAGTATATTACTATTAACATGACAAAATAGATCTATTTTGTCATGACTATTAATAAATAATCCCATTGCACTAAAGTATAAACAATGTTAAAAAAAACAATTTGTTATATTCTTTAAGATAATAAATAGATTTCATATACTCATTTAGTGTTATGAATTTACGTTGCCCATTGGCMATTGTATAAAACATCAATTGTCTTAAATTATTTTTATGCGATYATAATATAGATAAAGGTAATGTTTATTGTTTACATTTTTTCTGGTCTTTAGATCATAACGATAAGTTGATAACATTATGCGACATTCCTAAAATCTTTAATAATATTGTTGATTATTACTTATTATCTAATATTATGAGAATTGTAATTAGACTTAATTGATTTTCAATTGTTCTCAAACACCYTAGCCCGTGGTTTTTCTTTTCTACATTCAGAATATTTTAAATTTTAATGTCATGGAAAACAATACTTAACTCTGTAAATATAACTTTTAAAAAGTAGTTCTTTCATTCTTTGTACAATAGTTTTATTTTTTTTTTAAATTAAATATAATGAAATTACTACAACATTACTGCAAAAGTAATTTTAGTACACTAGTTTGTAATTTGCATTCATTACTACCTAACACTGTATTTATTATAAATTTAACACTTTTTTTTTTTTTTACAGGTTTTAACTATTCATTTTATAGTTATTTTGTTGAAACTGATTAGTACCTATATATTTTAACTGTTGCATTAAATATGAGTGGTCCTAAAGTAAATATGAGTATTCAAGCAGCTAAAAAAGTGAGTGGCTTAACAGATCCAACTAAACCATTTTCTTCATTTATGAAATATAATAAAAATGATCTTGACATGACAATGCAATTTATGAAAGCACCTGCCATGACTACTTTTCTCAAAGCTAAGATATTTTCTATGCTTAAAGACAACATGATGGAAACATATAAAAAGTGTYCTTGGGGATGGAGTGGAAAAGATAAACGTGCTGAGTTATTTCATAAAGATTCTAGGTAAATTACATATTTGTTTGAACAAAATTCATCATTRAAGTAATTTTTACTCATAAATATTTCAACAGTAAAAATATGTTTTATTGTAGATATATTTTAGTTCGACATTCAAGTGATAACTCTCTAGCAGCTTTTGTGCATTTTCGATTTGACATTGAAAATTTGATTGAAGTTTTGTATTTGTATGAAATTCAAATCGACAAAAATGTGCGTGGTAAAGGTCTTGGAAAATACCTAATGACCCTCATGGAAACTATAGCATTTCACTACAAGATGAAACGTATTGTTTTAACAGTGCTTAAAAGTGAAGAGGATGTAGTAAAATTCTATTTTTCACTTCAATATGAAATTGAATCATATTCTCCAGAAGATGCATTTTACTATATACTTAGTAAGAAAAAAAAAACTTTAGAACTTAAAAAGAACTAATACGTTTGGTAAAGGTTTGTTCTAAATCTAWAATAATAATTAAAAAAACTTTTTATATTACATTAAATTAATTTAATACTTTGAGTTACATTATTTGTATCATTATTGCTACAATTTTAAAATTCATAAGTTTGTTATGAAATAATATAAAATGTTTTTAATTAAATTATATTCATAGCACATATATATTTTAAATTAGTACAGATTAATTAAGAAATCACAACATTTTAGGAACTTACAACTATTAACAACCTATAACAAATACTGAAGTGTAAAATGTGACAAACAGCTATGAAATTAATATTACATATACATAATTCATAAGATAAATAATTACTGTCTTATTGTTCATATAAATTATCTATTGAAATCTAAAATAAAATTTAAGATGACATTATTTAAAAAATTTAAAAATTCTAAATATACCTAAATAGTTATAAACAATCATGACATAGTGTTTAATAGAGAACAAGGTATGAAACTTGAATAATATACGTATTTTGTTCATAAAAAAAATATTAAGTCTAATGTATGAATGAAATATTAAGTTATTCTGCAATTATAAAAATTCATATTATACCTAATTGAATTAGAATAAGCTACACATCTTTACTTTTATTTTCATCACACTAAATACAGTAAAAATTATTTTAACCCCTCTGTTATTTAGTAACATTATATTAGGTTATAAATGAACAAATATAATTCTAATTAGAACCTATTTTTTAGATTTAGTCATAATTGTTTTCAATATTTTAAYGATATAAAATATAACTATAAAAAAATATAATATATATTAACGTTATTATTAAACTTCTAAATAAAGTATCAGAAAAGGACTAAATATAAAAAATTTGTTCTTTACATTTAAAGAAAGACCATTACCATAACAATGTTAACTTGGATATAGTTTGGTTTGGAATACATTGATTATAATTTTTATATGGTTGTATATTGTGTGTATTATAAAGTGTGATATGCAGCAAACCAATAAATAATTCAACATGTTTCCATAACATATTGAGATAATTTTTTACAAAATTTATAATTTAGTATGTTTGACATTTTCTGTCCAGTAGTTTTGGATTGTCATGGCCTCCAAGCTATTTAGAAATGAATCATTGTCCAAACTATACATTTCATCTGAATTTTCCTGAAACATAAAATAATTTTTTACTTAAATAAAATGTATAGATATTTCCATAAAAAACAATTTTTGCTCATTGAACTCACTATTTAACTGATTCTAATTACCTAACAACAATTWAAAATAATTAAAAATTGGTCAAACAATATAATGGGGCATAAACACAAGAAAAACTTAAAAAAATTGTTTTTTAATTTATCTTTAGTGTCAACATAAGTGCATAATGTTTTAACAATATTTTTTCAATTACAATTTACTATAAAAAATTATAATACACCAAGTTTAACTTACTTTGAACATGTCATCTAAATAACCAATAGAGTCTGCATTGCTACAATGATCAAGTGCTTGGGGAGTATTCCATCTACTTTTTTTGTACATTATATATCCTAAAATTACTT